TGCACAGCTCTTACAGAACGGCCGGCGAGACGTGGACCACTCACGGAGTTTCACTCTGAACTCCCTTTCTTTCAGACACCGAACTTCAGAATAGGAAAACGTGCACAGCGGTGCTGGTCACTAACACCGTGAACGAGGCTCAGGTTTGCATTCAACCAAGGAAATCAGTCCTTCTCGGCCTCCCCGGCTCACTACCTCAGTTCACACCATACAAGCCCTCCCTTTCCTCTCTTTCCTTACATGATGCTTTTACTTCCTGTTTCACTGAAAGGCAAAGGGACTCAGAAGAGGATTATACTTCCGCCAGTATCACCCCTGGCTTCACCTTGCAGAGGGGTTGAAAGGCAAACCACTCTGTCCAGCAGTGGTTCCCAACCTGCCTGAGGCTGCGACCCCTTAATACAGTTCTTCATGTGGGGTGACCCCAACCATAAAAATGTTTTCATTGCTATTTCATAACTGTGATTTTGCTACTGTTATGAATCATAATGTAAATATCTGTGTTTTCCAATGGTCTTGGGAGACCCCTGTGGCGTTATCTTGCTTGTACACATAAAGTTTGTCTGAAGATCAGAGGATGGAGCTTGCCATAGAGGACTGGAGGTCTGCACAGACAGACAGGAAGTGACATAGCTGGGGGAAAGAGGATAGAAGCGGGAACAGAAACTTTGACTTGCTTGTTCTTCTCGCTCAGCATTTTCCTCTGTGTATGACTCCAGGTTTGATTATTGAGACCAATTAAGAACTCCATTTACAGACCCCAGTGAAAGGGTCATTTGATCCCCCAAAGGGTCGTGACCCAAAGGTTGAGAATTCCTGCTCTAGAGTTACATTCCCAGTCCCCTCTGGCCTTGAAAGTCATTTCTTTTACAATTACACTCTAAAGTTCTAGAGTTCTCCTTTTCAAGTAGAAAAATACAACTGCTGCTCTGACTATAATATACTTCCAAGGCAGAGTCAGTCAGTTGCTTACAAGATGGTGATTCATCCTTTCTTTCTCAAACAGAACAATCCCAAGATCAAACACACTCCTGGCAGATAGGCATGGGTGAGCAGAAGTCTGGGATATTTTTTTAAATGAACATAGCTCTTTTTTACCCCACACTGGGAATACAGACATGAGATTACTATTCAGCGCCATTTGCCCAATGTAATTCTCTACTTCTCCGCCTACCCCGCCCCAGAACCTCAGCAGCATTAAACATAGATGAAGCCTCAACATTCTTTTTTTAAAAATCTTGTTTTGATTTCTAGTAAGCTATCTCATATTTATTTTGTCCTTGGTTCTCTGGTCCCTCAAATTCTTCATGCTGCTTTCTTCCTGACTTCCACAGTTCTTAACACCCCATTCTTTTACTCTGAATCCTTTTGGACTTAATTCAGATCCAAGGTTTTAAATATCACTTGTGCTGTGATCCCATATTCTAAATTCCAAATTGTGACAGGGTTCCCAGTTTCTAAATTCATGTATCTCAACTGTCTGATATCTCCATATGGAGGTCCAAAAGACATTTCAAAGTTTACTTGGCCATGGGTGAAGTGATCCAGTGGCAGCAAACTTCCCCAGGACTGTAGTAAAAATAAAAACAATCTACTAGAAGGAAGCATAATCCTCCCCAACTCATCCTGGATGGCAGTCTTTCTCATCTCATCCTACACTCTATGCAAAAAGTATGACTCCTCTGCTTGCCTCCCGGCCTGCCCACACGCACCTCCAAGTCCTCCTGGCTCTGTGTCTAAACACACTCTTTCTTCATGGCTCACCATGCAGCCCGACACATGACAAAAATCTCTCAGTAGACCTCTACAAAGACCAAAATATGCCCTGGTGTTCTCCTCACATCTGTGCTCTAAGTAACAACCCCAGTGGTCCTTTCTAAGTGCAGATCTCCTTGTCTCTACTCCTCATGAGCTTTGAGTGATTTCACTGCCTTGTGCTCTCTGCAGAGCAAAGTCCTAGGCAACTCACCCAGCCTCCTCTGATTTGCCTCCAGCAGCAACTCTAGCCTCAAATCCTGTGCTTTGGACATGGAAGTTTGTTCTTTCTCCCTATGTTGTGAGCAACTCAAGCTCTTAACTGCTTTGAGATGTTCGTTACTGATAATCTTCATGCAGCTTACTCCTGTATCTCTCTCTGTCAGGCCTTCCTCTTACATCCAGGGTGCATCTAAGCAACAAAGCACCCCAGCTGCCTGCTATCCCATCGTTTTCACTATATTTCCCTCATGGGAGACTGTGTTGCTTATTAACTTTTATAACACATGTTGCTTCTGACTCCACTATACACTATGAAGACAGGACCTTATATTTGTTTACAGCCACAGTCACATGATCTGAAACAGTGTCTAATGTGCAACAGATACTTAAAGAACTACTGTAGAGAGTACCACACAGAGTATCACAATAGAAAGTCACTTAGTCTGAGACATCACTTGAATATATAAATTTCTGAATAAGGGCTTATCTGGCCACTCTTTCTAGTCTCTTGGTAACAACAGTCACTCTTGAGAGACAAAGCCATCCTTTAGCAATTTGGATTATTCCAAAGCCCTTCCTCCTTCTCAGCTTGGGGTCTAATTCCCAGTAGCTGTGAAATTGTGTAGCTGCCCCGGTATACAGTATATGGGGCTTCGGTTTCATGCTTGACAGACAGTATCTTCCATATCTGAAGAGAACGGTTAAATCTTTTCTTGATTTAATGATCTCAGTCTTCATTTAAAAATTATCTTAATTATTTGAATTGAATCTAGGGCCATGCACATGCTAACTAAAAGCCCTATCACTGAACTGTATCCATAGACCTCTTTTTACTCTTTTACTTTGAGACAGGGATCTCACTAAGTTGCACAGGCTGGACTTGAACTTCCTCTGTAGCCCAGGCAAGCCTTGAGCTTGCAATGTTCTTGCCTCAGACTCCTGAGTATCTGGAATTATGGGCCTGGACCATGAGGTTCAGTTTGACCCCGTCTTAAGAGTTGGGAACAGTTGGGGGAAGCCTTCTGCACGATCCAAGAGTGCTAGGGATTATAATTAGGTTGCATATTTAGCTGTCATCCACACTGTAGTAGTCAAACCTGGGGCAGATTATCGTGTGTCATCTGGCTGGAACAACTTTCTCAGCAGCACAGCCTGATTTAAACTAGCCCTTTCCTCCTTCCAGTCCAAGCGTCCACCGTGTCCAGTTCAGGTACCTCCTATACTGTCTGTGCTTGCCACTTCTCTAATCTCAGAGTGGTAAAGTCACTCTTCAGCCTCTTGAATTCCTGGCACCATTTAATGATATGAGCCAAGAGGACCTATTCTATTTTGGCATCCTTTCTTGCAAAAGGTCTGGATTTTCCATATGAGTAAACTGAACTGTCAACCTCCTTAACCTTCACGTAGATGATTACATTCACCTGAAGCCAATCAGTGTTTTGTACAAGCAGCAAGGAAGCCATGGAGTGATCAGAGAAATCTGAAACCAGAAGAGCACGAAGCTGGGATAGTCTTGATGATAGTCTTAACTGCCTGTCATGAATAGCCTGACGTGCAATGCTACTCCTTCCTGGCTCCCCTGACAACAGCCAAAGAAAACACAAATTACTCCAAGTCAAAGTAGACATCAGTAGCTTCTAGAATCATCTAGATTGTAACTTTATTCCCTTGACCTCCAAAGTACATGGGCATCTCATTTAAATCACTTGTGTAGAACAGTAGTATCGAGGGGTAAGTGATTAAGTTAAAAAAAAAAAAGGTAGGCTCATTTGAAAACATTCTGCATTTTAGTAGTGTGTTCGAATGTTGACAAGGTTGAAGAATAAAAGTATATTAACATGAAGTCAAGGAGTTCTGGTGTCATATGTGGTGATGTACACCTTTAATCCCAGCACTCTAGAGGCAAAAACAGGTGAATCTCTGTGAGTTCCAGGCCAGCCTGGTCTGCACAGCAAGTTCTGAGTCAGATACATATAGTGAGAACCTGTCTCAGAAAGAAAAAGAAAAAAAAAAGAGTTCTGGCAATGCCCCAAAGCACTGAGAGAATGATGCCTAGAATGGTCTGAAGAGTATGATTAGCTGTAATTCAGGAACTAGGTTGAAAATCAAAGCCTGTATGCCTATGCATATGCACACACGTACAGGTGCCAATGGGTAAATTGGGTCTGTTTCCGCTGACTTGCTGTCTCTGTAGCAAGGGAAGTTCACCATCTACACCATCTTGCATAATTTCTCTCTCCACAGATTAATATCCCTTCCTGCCACAGTTTGAATGTCATGTTAAGGCTTGATCCCCGAAGCAGTGGTGTTGGGAGGGCCGGCTGAGAGGTGATTAATACATTTCTCGGTCTCTCTGAGCTAGGTTGGTCCTCACAACACGAGTGTGGCTACCTCACCTCACTCTCCCGCTTCTCTTCCTGCCATGTGACATCTTGTGTCGACAGGTCCTCACCAGGAGTCAAGAAGATGCTGGTGCTGTGTTCTTTGTCCTCCCAAACTGTCGCTAAATAACAGATTCCTTTATAACCTGTCCATCTTGTGTATTTTGTTACAGCAACACAGAAAGGAACTAAAGTGCATGCTTATTTCTTTCCTGCCTCTTTTCATGTTATACCACATATTTGCAGGTGTGAAATTAGCCTAAGCCCTATCTGCTCAGATTTTACTCTTATTAAGTATAAATTTTTTGACCTGTTACTAGTACTCATTAGAGCTTAGCCTATGAGACTAAACCAACAGATCTCAACTTCAAGAACCAGGTGGTCTCAGAGTAAATACAAGCATGGACCTGCAAATCTTTATTCTGTTAGTGAAACAATACAGCCTGGGCCTGCGCTGGCACTCTGCTCTTGTACTAAATTATGCCCAGACTTACTCTAAAGAGCTCTAGTCTCTTCAAACGCGTCCTTAGAAGGATGCACCTTTCTCCCTCCTCCCTGAATTGCTGGAGTTTTATCATGTTTACTCTCAAGCTCAATTAAGAATTGGAAACAGCAGTGAAGTCTATTTGAAATGGAACTCACAGCATTGTGTGATCTTTTGGATGTTAGAAGAGATGCGCTGTGCCAGCTGGGCAGGATCCCCACCAATCCCTGGAGTGTAAGACATGGCCGGTTGCCTGACTGGCTGATTTCATCAGATGCAAGTGGGCTGTGTGGTTTTCTAGGAGTCACCTAAAAAATATAAAAGTTGCACAATTATATTTTTGAAATCATTTCTGTACATTTACCAAATTACCTACCTGGGAGACAAGAGGGTTGGAAAAGGAAAATTACTAAAAGTTTTCTAAAAAGCATTTATCAAGCATAAACATGTAAGTTGTATACTTTTGTATGATTAATATGGAGAACAAAGGCTTAGAAATGAAGACCAATGGGAGGGATCTAGAACATGTGGAAAAGATAAATGATATGTATCCAAGGAAGGGGAAGCTGGTGGCTAGCCCTGGACCAAATGATTCATGGCTCATATCAGTGGAAGGCAACCCAGAAAGGGAAAGAGAGGAATGACCTAACAGTTACTATATATCCGTGAAATGAAAATAGTTCACACAGCTGTCCAGCTTAACTTCAAAACCTCCCCTTTTTTGGCCATTTTTTAAAATTTCATTTTACATTCCAACCACAGTTCAACCTCCTACTCCCCTTACCTCCCCTCATCCCCTCTCACCTCCCCCCTGCAGCCCACTTCCAGTCCACTCCTCCTCACAGGTAAGGACTCCCATGAGGAGTCAACATAGGCTGACACAACAGGCTGGGGAAGAGCCAGGCCCCTCTCCCAGGCAATAAGGCTGAGCACGGCATCCCACCACAGGGAGTAGGCTCCAAAAGCTAGCTCACGTACCAGGATTATATCGTGGTCCTACTGCCACTGGGCATGGGATCCCACCCTATGGGATGGGCTCCAAGTTAGCTCATGTATCAGTTTTGTACCATGGTCCTATTGCCAGGGGTCCCTCTGACAGTCCAAGCCTCAGAACTGTCTCCCACATACAGTGGACCTAGTTAGGTCACCTCGAGTCTCCACAGTTATAGGGCTAGAGTTCATGAGTTTCCACAAGCTTGGTTCAGCTGACTCTGTAGATTTCTCCATCATGATCCTGACCTCCCTTCCTTATCTATTCCCTCCTCCCTCTCTTTGACTGGATTCCCAGAGCTCAGCCTAGTTCTTGATTGTGGATCTCTGCATCTGGTTCCATCAATTACTAGATGAAGGCTCTATGATGACAGGGTAGTCATCAATCTGATTACAGGGGTAAGCCAATTTGGGCATTTTCTCCACTACTCCTAGGTGTCTTAGCTGGGGTCCTCCTTGTGGATTCTTGGGAATTACCCTAGGACCAGGCTTCTCCCTAAGCCCACAGTGACTCTCTCTGTTAAGATATCCCTTTCATTGCTCTTCTGCTGCATCTCTCCTGAGCTCAGCCATCTTATACCCTCCTGTTACAAGCATCCACCCCCAGTTTACCCTGTAGATCCCATCTGATTTCCCTTCCCAGGGCGATCAATGTGTTCTATGAAGCTGTGGATTGTAGTCTGGTTATCCTTTGCTTTACATCTAATATCTACTTATGAGTGAGTACATATTGTGTTTGTCTTTCTGAGTCTACAACCTCCCCCTTTAAAGTCCTCCATAACTGTTCTTTGGCACAAACTATGTCTTATAACGATTAAGTAACTGGTCCAAAGTAACAAAACCACCCATTGATGAAGGTGAGATTTAAGCCTAGGGTTCAGGTTCCAAAGTTACCCGTGTTGGCTAACATGGAGAATAATTATCTCAGAAGTATGAGTCTTGGTTTCCAGGTTTACTTTGACCATAATCCTACAAAAACCACTATGATTTCCAACAGATGAGAATACAAGGTCACTAAAACTGGTTATGCTCAAGTTTCTTAGGTTTTGTACATGGTTGTTACAGTGTATTACTTAGGGAATAAATTTTTAAAAAAGAACCCTGTATGTATGTTCTACACTGATATAACTAAGTAATGTTTTTGATGCCCGGTGGGTTGAATCCACAAGCAAGGAGCATGATCGTAGGGAAGGCACACAGGGATAGTGCTGGAGGGACGTGTCACAGCTGAGTTGGCTGTGTGCATTGTGGAATGTGCCTGGTCATCAGACAGTCTTGAGAGCTTTGGTATATTTTCCACTCTCCTTCCTTGCTCCACACAAACCAGGTCATAAACAGAGACTCAAAACCAATTTCATTAAAAGCAAATTCAAACCTTAAACAACAGCTGACCCACAACAACAGGGTAGCAGGAAGACATTCCCTTCCAGGACTACTCCATGTGGAGAGCTGGGAACCAGGCTGAGTAAGACCAGACCTGAAAAGGTAGGTGTGATGTTACACTTTAGTCACAGCACTGAAGTCGTTAAATCGTGAGGACCTAGAGTTCAAGATCAGCTTAGGCCTGGTAATTACTCTAACGCCATTTTAATTATTCTATGAACCAATTAAACCGATTAGATCTCTCTTTTCATATCTTTAGATTTTTTAACATTTCTATGTATGTGTGTGTGTGTGTGTGTGTGTGTGTGTGTGTGTGTGTGTGCTACTGTGTGTGGAGATCAAAGGACAACTTTCAAGAGTTGGTTGTCTCCTCCCTCCCTGTGAGTCCTGGGGATCAAACTCAAGTCATCAGGCTTGGCAGCAGGTGCCCTTACCTGCTGAGCCAGGTTGCTAGCCCCATCCTTTAAAAAGTAAGATATAATCCATACACCATTCAATCCAGCCATTTAAATCCTATAATCCAGTGGTTTTTAATGTTAACAGAGCCGAGTGGCAATCACCATGTAACTTTTAAAATGCACATTATTTCTGAGAAGCAAGTCCCTACCCATCATTTTTCATTTCCTGTCTGTCCTCAACTTTCTCAGCCATAAAAACCAGTAATCTGCTTGCATGCTTTTCTATTCCAGGTGTTTCACAAAAGCAGAATCATACAATATGTGTTCTTTTGAGTGATTTGTGTCTCTTCCTTGTGATTTCAAGGACCATCTTGCTGTAGCATCTCTCAGAGTACCTCAATCCTTTTAATTGACAAATAATATTGTAATACATGGACAAAGGCTATTTTCTCTTGGTTTAGTGGCATCTTTCTCTGTCAGCCAGGCTTACAAAACACCTGTGGTTTACAGCTACCATCAACACACTGCGAATGACTCCTTTAGCCATGGGCAAAAGTAAGTCTCACATCCATATCTACAAGTCACACCCTTAGCACACTCTCTCCCCAGTGTCTATTTGTCTTTAAAGTTACTAGAACTCGCTAACTGCCTGTTAAGCTGCCAGTATAACCAGCAACCAGAAATATCTACCTTGGGCAAGACAATTAGAGCCTGGGCCTCCTGCCAGAATCAAAATAAGATGCACATCCAGGCACAAAGTGCTTTTCCACTGTACACAGAGGACAGATCCCATTTGGTCCTGCACCTGCAGGGCCCTCATTAGAGACACACAGCCACACACTCCCCTGAAGGCTAATTTCTCCCCCCGCCTAAAGAGACTAATATCAGAGTCCTGCTAATTCATGCAAAGGATTTTGGCTGCCCCTTAACTCTCAAAATCCACGTACATATATACTAGTCCAAACCTCAGGGTTTTCTTTTTAATTTACAAAAAGTTAAATCAGCCGGGCGTTGGTGGCGCACGCCTTTAATCCCAGCACTCGGGAGGCAGAGGCAGGAGGATCTCTGTGAGTTCGAGGCCAGCCTGGTCTACAAAGTGAGTTCCAGGACAGCCTCCAAAGCTACAGAGAAACCCTGTCTCAAAAAACCAAAAAAAAAAAAAAAAAAAAAAAAAAAAAGTTAAATCAGTCAGTCAATCAGTCACAATCACAGCCTGTTGCTCTCATCCTTGGACTCAAGCAAGCTAATTGGAGAATGCCCCTGCTGGTGACACAAGTGGGCTCCATCCATTCTACGAGCTATGCTCTTCTCATGTTCAGAATTTGTCAGAGGAAGGGTATGGAGGTGGCCACCTCAGTGCAACCTTGAGTGATGAAGGAACAGCGGTCTGAGAAAGGGATGGATATTTTCTACACGTGGTGCTTCTTACAATCATCTCCTCGAAAGCCTACGTAGTCGGTATGATTATCATTGTAGTTTCTCACAAAGACACTGCGGCATCACTGTAAACAAATAACGTGTTTATGATAAGCGAAAGACCGTAATCCTGAACATAAATCTGGGAGCTCACATTTTCTCAAACACTAGACTAAGTCCTGCTGCTTTCTGTATAACTTAGGACAGGTGGACCAATTCAACTACACGGCCAAACTCGCCACCTTTCTGGGGGCCCACAGGTAGTTTTGCTATCCTCACTCCTTCAACAAAGAGCACAAGTGGATGGAGGCAATACCACCAAGCAGCACACTCCCTTTCTGTACCGTTCAGCTAGTGAATGATGACATTCATAAGACAAGAGTTGGCCCTTCTAATAAAATACAATGCTATCTTTGCGTAAGAAAAATAACATACAAATACATAGTTATCGATAAATGACTTAAAAGTTTATGACTTTTACAAGTAAGCTAATTAATTCTATGTCCATAAAATGTTTGTGCTCTATAACCATCCCCAGTACCTAGCTTGAACTGCAAGACACTAAAGTATTCTTGTTGCAAACCCATTTGGAATTCCTAGTGTCCTTGCGCAAAATAATTCTATAACTCATCACCTGCGCCTGCGCTGCCTGGAGAGTAGCTACTATTGACATGGACTATTACAGTAAATTAAGTAAAATGGAAGCCACCCAAGCCACCTTTCGAGTGCTCAGAAATTGTATGTGGCCAGCGGCCAGCAGCTTGGACAGCTCACATGTCCATTTCTATCACCACAGAAAGTTCTACTGGACAGTGTTCAACTCAACATCTTAGTAATTATCTTTTTATGAAGATATATAAACACTCTAAGGTGAAAGAGGAGAAGGGCGATCAAAGTGCAACGCCCACAATGAGAGCCGTCTTACGACTGTGTCTAAAGAACAAAAGAGAAATGAGCAGAGACATTTTTGCCACAGAATGTTGAATGTAAAGTACTGCCCTGGAGATACTGCTGTACGTACTGTTGAATCCTTAAGACTTCCACTAAGCATAAACTGGTTTAAAATCCAGCCTGCTTGAAACAAACGGTCAGTTTCACTTTCATAATCATGCATACATACCATCGTAACAAACTGGGCTTCCTTCTCCCTTGTCTCCCAGGGTTTTAATTGTGTGTGTAGTGTGAGGTGAAATGTAAATTGTGGACCTGTTCCATTCTCTAGTACTTGGCTACAAAATAGGTCAGGAATCAATGTTTGTAGTGGGAATGAACAAGTGCACCAATTTCCTAAGAACACATACCCAGCCTGAGAGTAAATATTAACATTCCTAAAACACTACATGTCAGGTTTATTGCTGCCTTGACTTTTCTGGGTGCCATTTTCCTGTCTCGAGAAGGCCCGCCCCAAGGTGCTCACGTGACCACTAGCTCCTTTTCTCAGGAAGCTGTTATCACATGCTAGAAACTCCAGAGGTGAAATGAGAAGTCACAACTACTGCTCTCTGTCAATGTACCTTCTGCTTCAAACCATTCCTAGTACTTAAAAGACCCAAAGACACACAATGTTTACTTTCAGCGCCTAACAAAAACAAGAGAGGGATCAATCATAGGACATCATCATTGGAAGTGAGGACACTCCATCTTCCATCACAGTTTCCGTTCCACAAACTACCACAGTGCACTTCAGCCCAGCTCCTTCATCAATTAAACTATTATGCTACACTATTTGGATTTAGCTTAGTTCACCAAGAATTTCCCACCATGGTTTTACACATTAGTCTTTCAAGTTACACTGAACCACTGCAAAATCCATGCAGACTTAACTGTAGGTGTCCATCTAATAATAATTGTAGATACAGCAATGATAGTTTGTAATGCTGAGGACTGAGCCAGGACCTCGTGCGCACAAAGCAAGCAATCCACCATTGAACTACATATACCTCAACGAAATCATTAATAATTTTCAACCAGCAGCACTTGGATGAACTTGGGCTAAGAATCAAAATTAGTAATGACTGCTATTCGGGAAGAATATAAGAAGTAAACTACCTGAAGGAAAAATGACTTAGACGAGTTAATATGGTGTCACATTAACTTCCCCAGACACTGGGAAACTGCAGTCTAATTCTTAACTAGTTACAAGTCTGGAGTGAACTTCGGAAGCAGCAAGCCAAAGGCTTTCACATCACAAGACACAATTTAACAGTTTTTATCAGTCTCTGCCCAGTGCAGCTCGGAGTACACCTAAAAGAAATGCCCACATCCAACAGGACCAAACTGAAGTGTTTCACGGTTAGTTTTTTTTTTTTTCCTGATTGTGGATCACCTATAAATGATAATTATTGCCAGAATACAAGATCTGAAGCGACCAAAAAAATGAGATATGTATATAAAATCCAAGTATATTATCAGAAGGGAAAAATTAGCATTTGACTAGAAGGCTATTTCCTCCCTCTCCACCCTTACCCAAGCTTTTGTTGTTGTTGTTGTTGTTATTGTTCTGAATTTAACCTAGAAAACACAGATGCGAATTCTTGAAATACTTTTGTTAAGGGTCTTTGGGGTAAATCAATTAAAGTCATGCACAATTTAGGTCAAAGAAAGTTAGCTTGTGGAAGTCACGGCCAGCAGCACAGCAAACTCAAGGGGCCGCAGAAATAACCGATGGCCAGGTGATCAGGGCCCAGTGCTTTTGCTTTTCTGTTCTGGAAGGGAAGTTGACAGAGAATGCGGAGCTGGCCTTGGGATCGGCCTCCAAAGCGGACAGGCAGCCCGTGTTCCCCGCCGCGCGCCCGGGAGTGCAAGCGCGTCGCGTCCCCGAGTCCGCGGCGGGGCGTGGGAGCCCCAGAGGCGCCGGCCCCGCGCCCCAGGGAAGCCCGACTCTGCGCGCACCCAAAAGCAGCCACCGCGAACTGCGCTTCTGGGGCGCCCCTCCCGAACCCTCCGGTTCTGCAACCTCCTCTTACCCTAACCTCATCGGCTTCCTTCTCCTTCTCCTCCAGCCACTGTCACCCTGGGGCCCACAGACCACCGCGGCTAGCTTCAGCTGATGGGCGGTGGTGCAAGCCTGCCCACTGCGCATGCTCAGGGGACAGCCCAGGGAAGAAGGAGGCGGGGTTCGCTTCTCTCCCTTTGGCCAATAACCGCTAAAGCTTGAAGGGACTAGCAAAATTGCTAGGGAGCCTTGCCTGGAAGCCTGACACTTTGATGGTGAAGGCCTGCGTGCAAGGGAAGAGGTAGGGATAGAGGAGAGCTGTCTTCTTCATTCGGTAGCGCCATCCTCCCTGGACTCAGGCCTCATCAACTCCTGTCCGTCCTGTTTCCCAGTTCTCAACTCTGCAGTTGACTTTATTAGCAACCCCATTTTAAAATGTCACCGGAAAAAAAAAAACTGTTAAAGGAATTCTAGCTGAATCCACGAAAGAATAAATGAAGAATCACCTCTGGGTGCTCATTTGGTAAAGATGTTTTCTTAGTTCGCAATCATCCAAAATAAAGGATGCAGTTTTCCCAGGCTTTAAGTGCACGGAATGATTCAACAGTGAGAAGCATCGGCGGCTGGGGTGAAAGAAATTCTTTGTCAAATTAATTAGAATATAGATTGCCTTAATCTTTGCCTATAATTGAGACGGTGTTATTTTCTGAAAAGAGCATGAAAACACGTGATACCAAAGTGCAGAAGAATTTAAGTGGGGGGTAGGGGTGAAGGGAATCCAGAATACTGTGAACCAGAACCACACAGTCTTACACACGCAGGCATACGAAGATGATAAAGCCCTTCCTCTACCAAGTAGGATCCACACAGTGGAGTGATTCCCTGGTCAGAGGACTTACACCCATTTAAAGCGATGGGATTCAGATAGAGCTACTGTGAACTTTCAAGTTCTGCTTGTTCTGCTTTATTTTGTCGGGTACTGGAGATAGAACCAAGGACCTTGCACATGGGAAACAAGGGCCTTAACTGTGTTCTGTATCCCCAGGCTTTTGTTTTTGAAACAGGGTCTTCATAGGTTGCCCAAACTAACCTTGGTCTCACTCTATAGCACAGTCAGGCCTTGAACTTGCAATCTTGCCTTGTCCTTCTGAGTAGCCGGAAGTACAGCCCTGTGTCATTTGCTAGGTTGTTTGAGGTTTTGCTTTGAGATGCTACAGATCAAACCCAAAGCCTCACATTTTGGGAAGATGATCCACCACTGAGCTATACCCATAGTCCCCACTGTGAACTGTTAGAAATATCAGCCCGATACAGTGGTATTATATGTTTTTCCATGATACTGAGCATATTTCAGTTTCTGTTTGAAGCCTCTCCTTTTTTCAAAATTGTTATAATTTTAAAAATCATTCTCTGGCAAGGAAACAACCTCTGTAATAAAAAGACATGCTAACTATTAAAGCCACAGAGATCCTTTCAGACAACCTGGTTCTGTTTCCTCATTACACAGATTAAGGAACCTGAAACATGAAACACTTCCAAGTCACACAAATAATTCAGAGTAGCACAGGCTTGAGTCCTAATCCTGCCTCTGGAGTCCTTCCTACCTACCTCCTGACTCATTCAACAAATGTCTGCAGGGAGTCTACCTGCACCAACTATCAAGTCTTTCATGGAGTATGGCATTTTCCTATGGAGGTAGTGGTGACCTTCACATGACGCCATAAGCTGTTCTGTTGTGGAGATCTGTACAGAGCACAGTGGCAGCCCAAAGATGGGTGACCTTATTTTAGAGTCAGCAATGATTTTTGAAGTGGAAACAGGAGTAGGATTTTTGTGGGGACACCAGACCTTGAGCAGAGACCCACTTCCCCTTCAGCCTGGGAGTAGGCAGCTGTAAGACAATGTTTACTAAAAACATGTTTACTAAGAACAATACAATGCCCGGGGCAATAAGGTCCTGGAAAAGGCCTGCCCACGAAACCGCCCTGCCCTCGACCTTGTCCAAAGACTAACCGCCTCTTCTGACCCGCCCAGATCAGTTTTTGGTGTCAGAGCAGAACCAGCCAGGGTGGAGGAGAGAGCAGAAGCTTCTCTGGAAGGAGCCTTTCTTAGGAAGTTTTCTTGAACCTTTTTGGGGCCTGCTTAAAGTTTTCTTTACATGGTTGAACGAGTCTCTGTGTTGTCAATCCCTGACACCCTCCACACGTTCTCGGATACAGGCTGTGCAGCAGATGCGACAGATTTTTGAAAGTTATATAAAAATTCCACTGGAAGACAAGATGGAACAGGGCATTCTGGCAAAAGAAGGTATGTGCAAATGTGTATAATGTATGTAAATGTTTACTTTATTTGGAGAAAGCATGATTCATGGATCCAAAAGAAGAGACACTAGAAATGCAATTTTGGTTCTTAAAACAAAAGCCTCTGTCTTGTGTTAAGTGACTGAGAGTTGAGCTACTATAAGATTTTTATTAAAAGGTACAAAGTGCTCTTAATTTCATGCCCCAAAAGAAACAATGGGAGAAGTTAGGAAAATTAAAGGGAAATATGACAGAGAAGAAAGGCACTTAGGAGATATTTGTAGTAACTACATGCCTAAGTAAAGAATTTCATCAGTGTTGGAGATATTGAAGGCCTATATGATAGAGAAGGAGAAGGCTAATGTGACAAATATTTAGTAATACTTGCACATCAACTGGCTATGGAGAATGAAAGAGAAGTTTAGTGAAATGGAGCCAATATCTTAGTGCCTATTTTTGTATACCCTTCTGAGTTATTTTCACTAGAAATTTGGAGATGGGGGATGACCTACTGTATATATGTTTCTCTTATTGGTAGATGAATAAAACACTGTTGGCCAATAAGGCAGGAAGATAGGCAGGACTAGGAGAATTCTGGGAAAGGTAGGCAGAAGCATTTGCCATATAGCCGCCAAAAGACTAACAGGTCCAGGAATTCTCTGGTAAGCCAAGACCACATGGAAATACTTAGATTAATAGAAATGGGTTAATAATTAAGGCAGAGCCAATAAGAAGCCTTAAATAGGAGCATCACTGTGTTTATTTGGGGCTCAAGGACAAGAAACTTACCCGTGGGCTGGGTAAAGGGGAGGACACAGGACCCTAGAGAAGTCCTGGGGCTCAGAAACCCCGTTAGGTTTCCCTGCTAGTCAATGGCTATACTGGGACCAAAGCTGATGGTTACAAATCAAACTTTGGGCTTGTTCCAGTTGTCATTTCAAAAACTATGCTATTTAATTGGATTCCTTCCTGGTCATTTTAATTCAAAGAGAAAAAATAAGTGTAATACTCTATTAAACTTAGAGGCCCAAAGAATAAATGATTTCTGAAGGAGTTCCTGATAATTGTGGTACTACGTTTTATTATTTAGCACCTATTAAGTGAGATCCAGACAGATATTGTAAGCCCAGTGAGGTCCAGTACTACTCGGCTACTGATTAAACAAGCAACCATTTCACCTCCCACAAAGTGAATGCTTTTACACTTCTAGGAATCTGTCCTTATTTGTTACACTTGTTTCTATGAAGAGACACCACATCCAGGGCTACTTATGAAAGAAAAGCATTTAATTGGGAACTTGTTTACAGTTTCAGAGTGAGTTCATAACCTTCATGGCAGGGAACATGGAAGCAAATCCGCAGGCATGGCATTGCAGAAATAGCTGAGGTCCTATATCTGATTCGTAAGAACAAAGCAGAAAGAGAACTGGCAGGAATGGAGTGGGCTTTTGAAACCTCAAAGCCTACCTCCACTTATATAGCTCCTCCAACAAGGCCACACCTCCTAATCCTTCCCAAATAGTTCTACCAGCTGGGGGCATTCAAACTTCAAGCATAAGAACCTATGGGGTCATTCTCATTCAAACCATCACAGAGTCGGTTACCTATGGGAGAGAGAGAGGGGTGGGGGGAGGGGGGAGGGTGGAAGGGAGAGAGGGGGGGTGGAAGGGAGGGAGGGAGGGAGAGACAGATGCAATTTGGGTTTTTCAGAAGTAGTTATTGTTTTTTCGGTAGAGTTTGAGAGGCAATCAGAGCAAGCCATTGCATAACTGTCAGCATCCTTCTTTCCCTGTGCAAATCTGACCTGTTTAAACTTCCTTTGCAGGATAGGCAGCTACCCACTAGTCTTTTCAACTGCCTCTGAGTAGCATTCTTGTGGAAGGAAATAGATAAATAATAATTCGCTTTTGTTTACTAACCACCCAACTTAAAAAAAATAAGTTTTTAAATTATTGTGTGATTTGTGGAAAATCTAGAGAAATAGAAGATACAAAAAGATAACTATAGATATCAAGGCAAACAATATGTTGGTGAGACATGTAGTTTGACTTAAGAAAGCTTGTGACTTATAATGTGAAAATCATGGGTGTTTTCTGAAGTCTGTGCTAGAGAAAAAAATGTTCACAATATTCAACAGATGAGAGTTAGTTTTGGATACTGTAGTTTAAAGTACCTTGCAGCGTCCCGGGGGGTGGCTTATTTTCTACATCATATAAGTGCCTGGACAAGTAAGTGCCAGCATGGGTTTTGCTCTGATGATGAAACACTTGGATTTTAACTGTGCATCCAAACAGGCACTTAATCTGGAATCATGTTTATATTTATGTCAGTCCATTTTTGTTACTACAACAAAATATGAGACTTGGTGACTTATAAAGTGTAGAAGTCCATTCAAGTTTATATTCTGGAGACCACTGAGCCTAAGGCCATGGTGCTTTTCTTTCCTTCTGCTGAGGGCCACGAGCTGTGTCATTATCCTGCACATTCGCACATCAGAGGCCCTGAGAAGTGGCTCAGTAAAGAAATGGGCATAACTTCATTTTCTCTAACATTTCATAGTTAATATGCAACATACGATGACATTTTGAAGATTAAAGAAGCACATGTAAGCCAGCAATCTTCATATAAAGCTATTAATGCCCTCATGATCTTTTCTAATCCCAGGGTTTATTTTAGCCCACACTTTGAAGTTACAGTTTACCATGACAAGGAAGTCCAAGCAGCAGGAACATGAGGCAGCTGGTCACATTACACCTACAGTCTAGTGGCAGAGTGACAAATGCCTGTGTTCAGCTCACCTCTTTTTTCCAGTACAGAATTTAAGCTCAGGGAATGGTGCCACCTAGAGTGGATGGATC